GGGGCTGCCTGGCAGGGGTGCCCCCCTGCCTGCTCCCCTCGAGTGTACCCCTGCCCCTCGCTCCTCTGCCCTGCTGGGCCTTCCTCACCCCCTCACCCCTTCCCTTTGGGGGACTGGGAAGTGTCCCATCATCGTCACCACCCGAGAGGACACCGAGGCTTTGGGTCCTTCCGGCCTCGCAACCAGCTCTGGGGCTCTCTCCTCCTGCTCCAGCCCCAGACCCCACCTGCCATCTTGGAGCGAGCCTGTCCCCTGCCGCCATGCACGTCTCTCCTCAATGCTGCCCAGGCCCCTTCCCCTTGTGCCCTGTCCTGCCGTGCTCTAGGCAGACCCACCACCTTCCCCCAGCCATCACCTCCGCCTCTGGCCCAGGCTGCAGTGGGACAAGCCCGTGGTAGTGTTTGCATGAAATGGCGACTCCCCATCCAGGGTGGTTTGCACCTTATTCCATCTCTCCCCGCCTGGCGCTGGGGTCTGCTGGGGAGGGGCTCCAGCTTTAGAGCCATTGAGTTTTGCCACTGTTTGGTGGGGAGAGGCAGGTTTAGCCCACAGGCGCAACACCCTGGTCCCACCTGGCACCTCGAGATGACCCCAGCCTATGTTGCTGGCTCCCACCGGGCTGGCCCCCACAGCCGGGTCTGACTCTGCCCCAAACGCCAAAGCCCTGCACCCCTGCAGAGGGGCTAAACGGTGAATTTATTTACTGAATACATTATTCCAGGCAAGACAACAACACCCGCCCAATGTATTTATTGAATTAAATTTGTCCAGCTCACCCTCTGAGTGTTAAAGGGAATGACAGCCATGCCCATCCACGCCAATACGCCCTGTAACGTGTAGATACGCCTCCCAGCCGGCCCCACATGAGTACACACAGACCCACACAGCCAAACCCGCTCCATGGTACCATCACCTTCCCATCCCGGTAAGGCGCTGTTCCCCCTCAAAAGCTGTAGGACAGTGACTTCCAGGCAACCCTTTCTGTCCTGCTTTCAGCTGTGAGCACCCTTTCCCCAGAGCTACTGTTTTTCTTCCATCAAAGGTTAAGCCCCTTCATCCAGCCCCTGTTTGTCTTTGTCCCCCGGTCGTTTGACGTGTTAGATGATAGCCCATGGTGTGTAAATAATGTATATACAGTGAGAAAAGAATTCAGTGTTGAGGTGTTTGAGATATGGAGCTGTAACAACTTCTAGTCATCCAGCATCTGTGATTTATGTGCCATTTTCTGTAAAGATATGAACAAGAATAAAACTAAACGGGAATACTGTGTATGAGTCTGGTCACCAATGTTCAAGGAGGGTGAATTCAGCCAAAGCTGAAAGGGGGTTGGACATCAGGCTGTCCCCAGAGAGCGGTGGGAGCTCCAAAGCAGCACAGAGAGAGGTCTGCACCTTCATCCCCACCCAGGCATGGAGAAGATGGGGCTTGGGTGCTGCTCTCCCTTTGCGGTGAAAGACAAAGCTGGAAGGGGTGTGCTTGTACCTGGGGCAGAAGTTAGGCACCATGGCGTGCCACTGGTCAGAGAACAAGTCACTTCAGCACCCGGAACAGCCCTGGTGCTTTGGGTCACCCCATATCACGCGCGCCCTGGCGTTAGAGAGCCGGGCAGACCCATGGGCAGGCTCAGCCTCTGTGCCAGGAGCTGGCTATGGAGCCCAGCCGGCCTGAGGAGCGGAGGCAGCAGCCAGGCGCTGTGAGTGCAGGGGAGCTTGTTGAGAGGGAAAGGCACCAACGGGGATTTCCAGCAAGGCAAGCTCTGATTTGAGAGCAATGGGAGCTCATACTGAGTTATCAGAGAAGGAGCTGATGTTTGCCCACCCTGCTTAAGGGCATCTGAGGATGATCTGATGGAAAAAACTGATGTCCTACATGGGAAAAAGGCTGAGGCAGAGAAGATGTGCATAGGAAATGAGAAACTTTGCTTGTGGAACAACGAGGCTGCTTGGGCTTGACTTTGTGGAGGGGCTGTAAGCCCACAGAATTGCGTTCCCCTGGAGGGACAGAGCCCTCATAAGTCCTCGCCTAGCTCTGGGGGCAGCTCTGATACAAGCCTGGTGTGGGGTCTGGGATGAGTGCACCTGCCTGCCTCCCACACTGGTGTCCAGCCTGTTCACCAAACGTATCAGCCCTGCAGACCACGAGTGGTGTCGCCCTGGGAGGAGCAAAGAGGAAATGCACTACGCGTCTCACCTCTGCTGTTGATCCCATCGGTGTGCTTGGCTGAGAACAGCCCTGCTTGCAGGGAGAGTCTTTTCCTGCTCTTCTCTCATGCCTCCTAGGAAGGGATAGGAACCTGGTCAATGAAATTCAGGAAACCTCCAAGCTCTGCCTTAAGAAACACTACCTATATAGGGCCTGAGGGAAAGGAAGGCAGAAAAAAAAGCTGTTTGGAGGCAGCTTAGCTCTGCTACAGTGGGCGGTGGGAGGTCTCAGCATGAGGAGGTGGGCTGCAGTGTTTCATGCCAAACCACCACCCCCGCTCCACCATGTCCTCATTGAGCATTCCTAGTCCACCCTGTGGTACAGACCAGTCTGAAGTGTTTGGGAAGAGGCAGAGACCCCAGCCCAGCTTACCAGAGGGGACAGCTCTGAAAGCTGCCCAGCAGTGAGGTGGGATGGGATGCGATATCCCCTTCCTGCAGCAGACAGCCGCAGGAGAAAAACTTTCCCTGGCCCACCAGAGACAGCACAGCCCAGTGCTCTGCAGGGAATGGGCCTTAATTCTGGGAAGGGGATGGTCCCGTCACCCACACCTAGCATGGAGGGGACCCTAACTTTTACACGTGAGCTGCCCTTGTGGCTGGCGGAGGACCAGGGGGCTGCAGCGGGGGGGCTGCGGGGAGCGAGGGGATGGGAATGAGTAGAGGGAGGTGGGAGGGAGGTGAGTGGGGGTGAAGCAGAGGGGTCCAAGGACGCAGGGCAGCCCCAGGAGAGCATAAGCAGGAGCGGGCTAGTAAAGCCTGGCCCCCGTGGGGAGCTCAGGCACCCGCTAAACCTGGCTCCCGTTCAAGAGCGGCTGTCAGGACTCAGATTAGCATGAAGGTTATTTTCAGTCAAATATTTCTACAGCCCACCCCTTTCCCCTCCCTTAAAGGGATTGAATTTCTTTTTCCCTGTAGTGCTCTGGTAGAGAGGAGGAGAAGAACGAGGCAGGGGAGAAGGAGCACCTGGGTCCCTGCATAGGAGATCTGCTTTGTGTGCAATCAGCCCAGGGCAACATAGTCTTGGCTCCCACAGGGGCCCGTCTTGACCAGGCTGGGTGTCCTACGTGGCCGCAAGGGCTCCAGGCACCCATTTCCTTGGTGAGAGGCAAGCACCCTGCGATGATGGCCAGGCTGCTGGCCAGGGCCTGCTGCCCCAAAGCTCTTCCTCAGGCTCCCAGATGCCTGCCTGGGTCAGCAGCTACCCGAGCCTGGAGCCACGGGCCCCTCACTGCCTACATGCCTGAAGCTGTCGCCTTCCCCAGACCCAAGGACCACCAAGGCTTGTACAGGGTGTCAGTGGAGCAGGGTGACACCTTCTGGGGAGCACTAGGGAGGAGCCGGCTCACCTGGATCACCCCCTTCCACTCTGTCCAGGACTGTGATCTGCACCAGGGCAGGGTCTCCTGGTTCCTGGGCGGGCAGCTGAATGTGGCAGGTAAGGAGGGAGATGGACGTGGGATCCCACCAAGTGACACAGGTGTCTCTCTGTGAAGGGCTTTGGCCCCATGAGCAGATTGGAGGAGCACAGATTTAAAGGGTTGGAGTGAGGGGGATCCCCAAAAGGTCCCTTTGGTGCTGCAGTGGCTATAGTGTAAGGATGTAGCTGGTCCTAAGGGACCAACCGGGTCTCACCAGAGGGGCTGCTGCTGGATTGGGGTGTGCTGGGAGCCGGGCTGCTCTCCGTCAGCCTCTGTGGATCCCACAATAGCACAGCAGCTCCGTTCTGCAGGACTACAGGCAACAGCACCGAACC